CCAGTCGAGAGAAAACGTAAATGTAGCATGAATGTAGGCCCAACCCTTATCCTTCCCCAGTAAATCCTGCCATCTCATGTTTGTATGATCATAAAACCATCTCCTGTAAACGCTTAGTACCTGATTGCAAAATTACAGTTATGGTAATAATGATAATGATAATGATAATGATAATGACAATGACAATAATGATAATAATAATAATAATAATAATAATAATAATAATAATAATATAGTAGTTATAACAATTATAAGAGATAATAATTAAGCATTAAACCACACTTTCTATCAGTTTAGCAGGGAATCGACCACGCGAAATGTTGGGAGAAAAAGAGAGAGGTTTGTCAAATAGTGCGATAAACCAATCAAAGCGCCGGAAAATAATAAACTGTCAACCAAAAGAGCGAAGACTGTAACTAATTTAGCGTTGGCACGGAGAAACTCAGCAGAAATTGAAAAGAAACCTAACAAGAAATAGTGTTATGCAGGATAAAGGTACAAACTGTCAAGTGCTGCAGAAGGATGCCTTTATTTGGATGGAGAAAACGCGATTTTTGGGGCCAGAGCTGGCCCACTGCGATTACGATCTGTTAATTTGTATGGAAAGTTTTTAAAGTTTGCAAGCCTAGCAAGCAGTTTTTATCTTTTCTGGAGGAAATGAAAGTCAGTTATAGAAGTTTAACTGGTGAAATTAAGCTCGATTATGAGAACATAACTGTAACGAAGGCTATTTTTAGTCGTGATTTGCGTGACGTCAGGAGCTTATCACTTGGGCTCCTGGTGACGTTGAATACCCTTTTGTTTTGCTATTTTTTGTGTGACATACTCTCGAATTGTCGGCGTTATGTTTCGTTCGGCCACAAGACACGTGTTGGTCAAAGAGGGAAACAAATCGAAGGAATTTCATAGGCTAGAATAATAGAAAGGGGAAAGAGGTATGTCATCTAATTTATTTTTGTATTTATAAACCGAAACGTGTATGATCAAAGGTAGTTTTGTTAGCTTAAGATATTTGTGGTTTTTTTTATTTATCTATATATATGCCCCGCGTGTTCGAGTTTAGGGCATTTCGATTAGAGTTCAATGGTAATGGCCTATTCTAATTTATTGTGTTTCAGTTTTTACGAGCTTTCAAGTAACTAATAAATCAGTCGCGAATGATAGATGCTTGGAGGTTCCGTTGATATAAGACATTTCCCTGACACAACGTTGTTGAATTGATTTATGTCAGCGTGCGCTCCATTGCAATAACCGTCAGTCCGTGCCACGAAAAAAATGCTGTAAAATCGAAAGACAAAAACATCGAGCCTTGTGCACTGATTTAAACAACGTCTGGCTTTCTTTTTACCCGTGATTCAGTATTTCTTCGACCGAATTCGTTCTTATTGCCACACGGCTTGAGTGAAATTTTTCATGGAGTCCTCTTTAAAATTTACAGAAAGAGCTTAAAACGCTCAAAATTGGCGAAAACTATCAAATGAAAACTGAAATCGCGGACAGCCAGCGGAATTGCCTTAAATCTTGGGTGCACATTCACTTTGCAAGTGGATTTTGTAACGTTCTCATCAGTGAGTAAGGGCCTGGCTAAATGAGGAAACTTTGTTGCGGAAACATTGTTTCCTGTTATATTTCCCGGGGTGGCTAAATTAGCGGGAAACAAACAAAATGTTTTGCTGCCCCAGTGGCTAAACGAGGAAACATTGTTTCGGAAAACAAATGAGCGACGCATGCGTGTATGAATAAACTGACTTCGAGGAAGTCTGGGGAGCAAATGATGTTCACATTTTCATTGTATCAAAGCCCTTTGTGGTATTCTGCACAATAATAAGGAGCTTCAGCATCTTGTACCACTTCCAAGAGGAGTGGTACACATCGCTTGTTTGTTGACCGGACTTCTTTTTTCTTTCCAAGGCCTGTTCCCTCTTTAATTGTGATAATTTTCCACTTGCTCTTGTAATCCTCCCGGCTGATATTATATTTTTCTGTCATCAGTAGATGATGATTTGCGAATACGCCACCTCCTTACTGTCCCTGTTCATGTAGTCCTTATGAATTACGTCCCAGAGACAAGGCCTTTCCTCATGCAGCGTAATTAGCATTTCAATTTCTTCATCTTTCCAATTCCTTTCCCTTCCCTTTCCCTTTCTTTGAGCGTGACCTGCTTGAGTTTGAAGGT